GCAGATCAGTAGCAATAATCTTAGCGCATCACCTGCCTAGCCATTATAATTTGGCTGTATTCTGTAGAAGTGAATCTTGAGGAGGGATTTGAAGAATAGGGTAGCAGCGTTATCAATCTTTCGAGGAGGATGACCCATTCATACCAGGGCTGCCCAGAGGATTCAGGGGGCCTGGGGCAAAGCGGAGGAGCTGCAGCGCCTGTACTCACCCGGCGGCGGTCCGGGTCTTTGGTGGCATTTCAGCAGCGGGGGGCCCTTCAGTCGCTCCACGCCCCCCACCGCTGAAATGCCGCCGAAGACCCGGACCGCCGCTGGGCCAGGGCTTGCAGGGCCCCCTGTGGGGCCTGGGGAAAATTGCCCAGCTCTCTGAATCATGCAGCAGTTGGCTGTGATATGCGGCAATAGCCCACTGGACATTCTGGGAGTTGCAGTCCCCAGCTTACTCGGATGGAGGAGGTAAACTAGAACTCCCAGAAGAGTAGACATACCCATAAGGGTAGATATACACTGTGCTCCTGTGTAGTGAGCCAAGCACCATATTGAAAGAGGTGTTGTACTTTAAACTAGCAGGTGGCAACTGTGGGCGCTGTGAGGAGAATAGTTGTCGCTGCTGTCTGTCCCAGTTGGGTCTGCATGTTTTAGAGTCACTGCGGCTGCGTAAGGGCGTCCGAGCCCTCCATTGGGAAGGTGGCACTGCATAAGAGGGCCCAGGATTGTAGCCTCCCTGCCCAGAGCAGGGCAGGAGGTCTCTAAGGAGAAGTGGGGGGTGGCTGGGTGTCAGGGGCTTGGCACAGCCCTGCAATATCCACAGACAATTTTTGCAGATTGTGGATAGGATGCAGATACAAATTTTGTATCTGTGAAGGACTCTACATACTAGTCAAGGCCAGAATGTAGGTAGGAGGTTGCAGTAATCAAGGTGTTGCCTGATGAAGTGTAATGCACTGTTATAACTATTACTCTAGAGATATACAGTATCATACAAATTATAAGCATTTTATGGTATAACTAACTTTTATTAAATACACTACACATGCAGTAGATCTACGTAGCAAAATGTCAGATATTCCGCATTAATACTGGAGAAGTTTGTTTTTAAAGTAGGAGTTGTGAGAGCAATAGGTTGAACTATGAAATCTTTCACCACTTTTTAGATGTCAGTATATCAGGGCCTCAAGCTGTGCAAGTCCCACAATAGTACTGACCGTAGAACTAGGATTGTAGAAGTTTTTCTATAAAGAGGTGACAAAAACAAGAACTGATTAAAAGTCAGTTTTTATACAGGAGATAGCAGGAAATAAAACATGACTGTGATGGTGTCTGTCAGGTTTTCTCTGCCCTGTTCTGGAGATATTGGCACCAGGACACCACTGTGCGCAGGCCGGGCTACCAACAAGATTCATCTCCAGGGTATGTCTACACTCTGTTCTAACCTCAGGTTCGAATTGAAGCTTAAGCCTAACCCCCTTCCATCTTCACAAAAATTGTGCTAACACAGGGCTTGGACCAATGGTCCCAGAACCCCACAGGGGTGGAAGGTCCAAGCCTGAGTCAAGCCACGACTCAGGGTTCAAACCCTATTGCTATAGTGTAGACGCAGCCCTACTGGACTCATGCTCTGGGAGTCTGCCAAAAGTATTCCACAATCCCACTAGCTGACTTTCTTTGTCCTCTGGACAGTCAATTTTGGTTGGCAGTCAGATTTTCCTGCATCACAAACAAAGGGCTAGAGCGACCACACTTTGGGAGGGTGCTAGGAAGTCTGGGTTATGGGTGGTTGGACTCAGGCCAACATAATGCACTGTATACGCTGGAGCCCCACGTTGGGACCCAGGGCTCAACAGTTCCTAACCTGGGGTTGTAAATGAGTGTAGACCATCAAGTCCTAGATTAACAAATCCATGGTCTGCTAACTCAAGTTCTGCTAACCCTGAGCTTACATGGCATTGTAGACATACCTCCAGAGGCCTAAAAGTGCTAGAAAGAGTGTCAAGGGCAGACCTGCTAGAACCAGCTGCTGGCCTGCTCCCTGACAAACTCCCTGAAGCAGCCTCACCTGCCACATTGACCTTTTAGTGAGGAAAAGAGTAACAACTTGTATCACAGTCGGTTCAAGGATATTTCTAAGAATAAAGAAGCAAAGAATAAAGACTTCATGTTCCATTTTCTAAGGACCAGATTCTGCCACCATTGGCATTTTGAGTCGTGCCTTTCTATATAGATACTCCCATTAATTCCAATGGGACTACTTAAGGAGTAAGATACTACTACACATTGCAGAATATGGCCCTGAGTGATTATAAACAATAGCTTAAAGGGCCTGATTTCAAAAATCCTTCCGAGGTGGTGATTTTTCTTTATTTAGCCTGTGTTTTTAGGGGTTCACACTGCAAACAAAGAAAACATTTGCATATGCTGAAATTATTGCTATCCGCTGGGTGGTTAGTTTTTATACAACTATAGTGATAAATCTGGCTTGCTTTAAAACGTGTCAGTAGTCTCATTTGTAAAAGGGATTTTATAAGTACTTGGATTAATTAATAAAGTTTGCTTTAGCTTTCCCGTTAGGTACTGGTATTATTATTATTATTATTGTTATTTATTATTTTTGGTAAGTGACCAAAACCATTATGAGAACATGAGAAGCAGATCATTTTGAATTCTGAACTACAGGTGTCGCACCTTACCTTCAGTTCTCCATTTTAATAGAAGAAGCTACAAGAACATTAATTTTTTGCATACAGTAGGTTTATCACAGTTCAGGATGAGCTGTACCCTCTCTCAGTCTCTGGGTGGGCACCCTTTCCAAGTGACAGGGCTATGTCTGAACTTCTGTCAGAGGCAAATCCCGCAATTCATTCCACTCTTGACTGAGTCTCTAGGTCTTAGCACCCCTATTTACCAAGTGTTTCCCAGCAGATCTAGTTGGTTTTGACTCCTGTTATAGACTTCTCTTTGGTAGCCTATGATCAGTATGAAAATACAATGACTCAAAACAGCCTCTTTGAAACAAAGTATTATTTACTTATCCTTAGGCATGTACCAAACAGAGAGAGAAAGGGTTAAAACAACAAAAGGTCTACACACATATTATCTTACCTAAATCTTAGTCTTTCCTTGTACGCTTAAATAGGTCCCACTTGTCCCAGGTACTTCCAACATTGGAGCTGGGTGAGGCAGACTTCATCCCTGCAGTCTCTGCCTCAGTCTGACCCTCAGTCAGTGTCTCCCCATTCTGAAATCAGCTTTTTTATCCATCTCAATGTTACTTTGTCTGTTGTGGGACTCCTGATCCTAGTCAATCCAGTTTAAGCATCTCACTAAGGAGGCCAGAGGTAGACTTCCAGCAGTGGATTTGTCCATTAAACACTGGCAATTGAGTTAGAGTCATTGTCTCCCTTCCTGGAGATCTATAAAACCATCCAGGATTGAGTTAACTCTTTTCTTCTGTGTAAGAGACAGCATGATACTGCTCATGTAGACAGAGAGACACAATATTTGTTTTTTAAAAAAGTATTGATATCTCCCACACTCTTCCGAAGACTAAAATTGGAAGAAATCTACATACAGCAGATGAAGATCTGCTCCACAGTTTCTGCATTCTGGAAATAAATAATTTAATATTTATTTGAAACATATACAAAAAGTTCCGAACCTGCAAAGACTTATGTATGTGAGTCATCTCACTGGTGCCAGGGGGGCTACATACATGTTTTAAATTAAGCATGAGAGTAATTATTTGTGGGACTAGGGCCTTAATCTGTAAATGCCTGATTCTAAGAGTTGCTGAGCATCTACTGCTCCCATTGATTTAACAGGAGTTGTGGGCGCTCAGCACTTTTTCGGATCAAGACATAAACTTTTGACTCTGATATTTTGCATGGTTGAGCATGAGCAATTCATTCCATACTCTAATTGGTTCCCCTTCTGTTAGCTTTATCTATATAATTAAAAGCAAGAATATTTTAACACTTTAATCTTATACTTTGGAAAGTCTTGCATATAGCTTCCACAATAACATTTCATAATAAATGAAATAATATTCCTTCCAAATGAATTTCAGCAATAAACTGAGTAAGTTTACAAAGTTTACAATAAACTTAGTAAGTTACAAAATCTCATATACAAGCCTTTAAAATTTCTGGATAATTCCGCCAATCTAGCTCCATAGAGAAGACTTTTTTATCCCTCCCCCTGTCTCTCTCTTTAAGCCTCCAAATTGGTATTGCTCCTCACCATCTCCAAATTCTGTTCCCTAAAAATGTAAATACATAAAAAATACAATCTGCCTTCATCCTGAAATAAAATTATTCTACTTAACTGCCAGGGGGAAAATTTGTCATGTACACATGGGAGAAAGAAGAAGGGAGATATGCAGCATCAGCTATGGATAGTTTTAACTCAGGAAGTTCCTTCGAGAGAAAATGTAACCAAACTCCAAACCTGCAGACAGTGGAACTTTCTGTGCCTGCGTCCAGTAGATAACTAACTGCTTGGTTTGCAAAATAACACAAGGGGGAGGGGGCAAGTAGCTGAACAATAAGGGGTCACAAACAAAAGGGGCAGATACATGTAGCTTGCTAATTATGTATGGTAATGATAGCAAATTTTGGCCAATCATAGAGCGATAGATTATCATAGTCAACTGCATATAATACTTTGGTGTAAGTGTTTTCGGGGTTCTTGCCAACTTATGAGCTTGAACCCAATTGCAATTGAAATAAACGTATCGCCCCTCCCGGGGCTCCTTGCTTGATTAGCTGTGTCTGTCTCTCCTTATTCCTCAGCTGGAACGGACAGGAATTTCTACGACAATCCAAACTGAACATTACTATGTTCAGAAACCCATTATGCTTCATACTGGCTTCAGTTAGACTACTCATGTGAAAAAGCACTACTCGATTGGGTTCATGCTAATTAATCAAGAGTTTCAGTTGTAACTATTAATAGTAAAAACCTCTGCATTAATTTTAATTACTGCCTTTGACATTTCTAAACAGGAAATGGCAAATGACAAAAGGCCAGTAAGTGCTCATGTACCTTGCAATCCAACTTTTGGGGAATCACAAAGAAATAATGAATTCTTAACTTCATCAACGTCTTCATGTCATAACAGTGTACAAACTACAGTAGTGAAGCAGTATGTGAATAAAGTCATCACATCTTCTTCCCACTTACATAATTTTCCAAGGTAAGATTTTTAATTTGCTATTTTGTGATATGCTGCACAGAATATAATTGAGAAAAATAACTTTATTAGCAACAGTTTAAAGCTGAAAATAAAGGTAATTTTTAAAGATAATTTCATGGTTGCGCAGTAACATTTACTGTTAGTTTCCTATACTCAGTCTGAAAAGTGCCTCAGAACACTGCAGATACGGAGAAATGTTTTAGCTATAGATCACTCTGAGCTATCTAAATTTGAGTTTATCTAAATTTTTAATCATCTCAAAATTAGTGATCTTTGTGGCTTTGAAGCCTTAAAAACAAAGGCCTCCTCTTCTTCAGATTTTCAGATTTTTTCACTTGGTTAGATATTAGTCCTTCCCCTGGAATTCCCCAGCCATGCGGGGAACAGGAATGCCAAACTGGGCCCTAATAGTCAATGTAAGTCATTATAGCAATAAAAATAATGTAAATATACAAACATGATTAAAAGATACAAGATGTTGCACATGTATATCTAAGGGGCAAATCCTTATGTGTCATACAAGCCATGCAAGGACATAAGATGGCATAAGGCACCACCCTTACTTCCCTATGTGGGCAACCCATCCTGTGGGTAGCTGCGGGGGGGTGGGGCCACTGTATCCTTGGTTCTGCCATCATGCAGAAAGCATACCTGCATCAGGTTTAGATTTTTTTTGTTACAAAACTGCACTCAAAAACAAAACAATGTAAAACTTCAGAGCCTACAAGTCTACTCAGTCCTACTTCTTGTATCGCTAAGACAAACAAGTTTGTTTATATTTACAGGAGATAATGCTGCCCTCTTCTTCTTTACAACATCGCCAGAAAGTGAGAACAGGCAATTGCATGGCACTTTTGTAGCTGGCATTGCAAGGTATTTACGTGCCAGATATGCTAAACATTTGCATGTCCCTTCATGCTTTGGCCACCATTCCAGAGGACATGCTTCCATGCTGATGACGTCATTTAAAAAAGTTTGCATTGATTAAATTTGTGATTGAACTCCTGAGGGAGAATATGTCCCCTGCTCTGTTTTACCTGCATTTTGCCAATATTTCATGTTATAGCAGTCTCAGATGATGACCCACCACATGTTGTTTATTTTAAGAACACTTTAAGAACACTGCAGATTTGATAACATGCAAAGAAAGTACCAATGTGAGATTTCTAAAGATAGCTACAGCACTCAACACAAGGTTTAAGAATTTGAAGTGCCGTCCAAAATCTGAGAGGGATGAGCTGTGGAGCATGCTTTCAGAAGTCTTAAAAGAGCAACACTACAATGTGGAAACTTCAGAACCCGAACCACCAAAAAAGAAAATCAACCTTCTGTTGGTGGCATCTGACTCAGATGATGAAAATGAACAGACTGCTTTGGATTGTTCTCGAGCAGAACCCGTCATCAGCCTGGATGCATGTCTCCTGGAATCGTGGTTGAAGCGTGAAGAGACATATGAGTCTTGAGCGCATCTGTCTCATAAATATCTTGTGACGCCAGCTACAACAGTGCCATGAGAAACAAGAAGCGGGCAGCATTATCTCCGGCAAATGTAAACAAACTTGTTTGTCTGAGCGATTGGCTGAACAAGAAGTAGTACTGAGTGGACTTTTAGGCTCTAAAATTTTACATTTTTTTTAATCCAGTCTTTTTGTACATAATTCTACATTTGTAAGTTCAACTTTCGTGATAAAGAGATTGCATCACAGTACTTGTATTAGATGTATTGAAAAATACTATTTCTTTTGTTTTTTACAGTTCAAATATTTGTAATCAAAAATAAATATAAAGTGAGCACTGTACACTTTGTATTCTGTGTTGTAATTGAAATCAATATATTTGAAAATCCAAATTTGAAACATCCAATGTTTATATAAATGGTATTCTATTATTCTTTAACAGTGCGATTAATTGCAATTAATTTTTTTAATCACGCAATTAATCGCAATTCATTTTTCTAATCGCTTGGACAGCCCTAGTTTATACATTTATCACGATCTTGTCTCAGTGCTTCAGGAGAGTAACTGGTGATACAATACTCTTAAGTAACTTAGCCCAGTTAGTGGTTCCTACATTGTTTCCTGTTGTTTTATTCCCAAAGAGTTTATAATCTAACTAGATAAAAAACAAAGTATTGAGGAAATGGTTGTAACATAAAGGCATTGATTGCCTTTGGATTGAGGGGTTATGTTTGGCATCTCTCTTTCAATAACCGTAGTTTAATTTTTAAATAAAGTTTGTGTTTATATTATATTGTAAGCAAAATAAACTTCCCCTCTACTTGCTTATTTTAAACCCCTCCCCTTTATTCTCTCCTACTTGTTTCTATAAGATGCTCTCCACTGTGGAGCCCATTCCTCACAATGTACCCCATGCCAATAGTACCTTTTTCTTTCTTATCACCACTTCTCTAGTGTAGCTAAAATATGGCTTAATATATATATTCATAACCAACACTGAAAACTTAAACTTGGACCAGGTGGCCTACATGCAACAGCTCTTGCAGATAATCTAAAAGGAAAGCCTCCTCTACCTGGCTGTTTTAGTAACAGTTGTGCTGATCCTATTTTGTTAGAGATGGTTCTTACTGCATTCCTTCCTCTGTCTCAGATATGGGGAGTCTTTTGTTTGGACTGTGAGGGGAAAAAAATCCTGGAGCCCCTTTAAGGATTCCACCTCCCCCACTGTGTGGGGACCTCTGCTTCCTCGTGGGTTTAGGGAAGGGTTAATGGTGATCAGGAGGGAGTCCAAGTTTATTGGTCAAACTGAATGGTGCAGTGGTAGCCCAGGCTCCTGTGCAGCCTTGGGAACTATTTATAAGCCCTTTCCCCTAACATACCAGTCTGCACCTGGGAGCAATGGCTCCCATCATCCCCACACTCTTGGGATTACAATAGAACTGGGTTTCTGGGTCCTGCTCTGAGCATCATAGGAATCACCTTTTGGGCTCCCAGAAGGTATGCTGGAAAGGAATTTTTCCTTCATTGCTAGGTTGGTCTGGGTGATGTGAATTTTTTTCATCTTCCCCTCAGGAACCCACAGACCTGGGATACGTCTTGACTTCTCTGGAGTCAATGATAAAACTCCCATTGATTTCAACAGAGCCATGATTTTATTCCCAGGTGGTAGGTGAGATGGTAAAATGTTCATCTTTTTGTCCCTTGGCAGGCGTCCAGCGCAGATGCTTATTTAAAGGAATCCTGGTTCCCTGATAAACAGGAGCTGGAAGGGCATTGTGTAAAGAATCTGGGGCATGAGTTGTGGCTCCTAATATCTGGTACAGTGAGAGGCCACCACTTTTCCTCTATGCTCTCAACTCTTGTATGAGGATGGTGTGGTCCCAGCAATGGTGCTGGGAGCAGGTTAAAGGTTTGGAGGAGTGAAGGCTTGAGGCAGTCCTTCTCCAAGTGGTACAGATTCTAGAAAGAAAGTTGATCTGCATTGGATGAGTTATTGCCAGATAATTTCCCAGATGTGATAAATTAATAAAATTGGAGCATCGTTAAATCATGTTCCTGGTGTCTTGTCTTGTCTTCTTGTGATGCCTGAGACAAATATACATGTGCAAGATATTGAATTTTAAAAAATAACTACGAAATGGGGATGAAACTGTGGCTCCAGTAAAGTCAATGGCAAAACCCCCACTGACTTAAATAGGGCCAGGATTTTACCATATGTGTATAATTTGGGTCGTAACTTTCTTGTTAATTGAATTTGGACATAGTGTTATCACAACAGTATTATGATGTCAGTGCAAGCCTCTTGCAGAAAAGATATCAGACCAAAATAGAATGAAACAATGAGAGTACAATCAGTGGAGAGTACATTACAGTATCAACTCAAAATGATAAAGATATAAATCTACTAGGATGGCATGGTCTGTCAATACGAAGTTATATTAATGCAGTTATTTGCAGTAGACAATTAGGTGGCAAAACAAAATAATATCAGTGCAAATCTATATAAACATGTATATGATGCCTGGAGGAAGATAGGGTAGCAATGTGAACTTCCGTTATAGCTAAGTCTCAATACTTTCATTTTTTAAATGTTTTATGCGGATAAATATTTAGAGGTATATAAACTAGCTTGGCATCTAGATTGTACTAGTTGCAGTTAGTCCAACAAGAAGTTTAACTACTATTAAAATAGTAATAAGATAAAGTTTAGCTTAAAATACAATTAATTAATATTAAAATAAATCACTATATCTCTTGAGCAAGGTTTTAAGTGCTCCAAAAATATAAAGCAAAAAATATATGCTTGTCAAATATACAGTATAAATAAATAATTTAGGTGAAAATGGATGACTAGATATAACAAAGAGACAACCAAATAATGAAGGGCTAAAGAGTGGTTGTTACATTTGATGTACTTCATTGTATATTGTAAGTAATTGCTATCCATAAAAATTCTATGGCTTCTGTATAAGAAAAAGGAGACAATTTGACAGGCAACACTGGTACTAAGCGACAGCAAGTACAAATCCTTGGCAACTGTCATTATCCTGCTGTTGAATTCACATCCAAAACTGTGTGATAACTTCGACCTGCATACTTGTTATTGAACCAGGGTCTGTCAAAGTAGCCACATTTTTCACTTATGAATAGGATTGTTAGCCTCATGTAGATTTATGTCTTAGAAAACTCAAAACTGTGTAGAATGCTTTCTTTTATTTAAAAAAGACTATTGTTTTGTGCTTAAAAAATAAAAAATATGTTGACGTGTATCCTGGTTAAATTTTCATGGGTAGTTTGAGAATGTCTTTGAAAAATTTATGGTAAAATAAAACTTCTATGTTGTATCTAAATTAATTTAAAGTGTATGAACTAGAGCTTAGAATAATTTGCTTTTATAATAACTACAAACATCTCTCTCAAAACTTCCTCAATATAATCACACAAAGAAGCAATTCTAGAACTGCTAGTAAATATGCAATAAAGATTTTAGGCCTTAGTACACATAGGGTTTGGGATTCTTTTGTTTCTTTCATTTAAGCATCTTGAGTCTGTCCTATTGCTTTAATCCTTGGCCACCTTTTTTCTCAATATTAAACCCAACAGTAGGAGCCCTACACAAGCATGTTTCCTTGTGCCACAAACATGGGATTACAACCTTTTGGCTTGATTTAACATTGATCTGAACAGGAATTTTGCCTTAATAAGAAGTGAAGAATTGTACGTTTTACCATGGCACTTAATGTCATTTCAAGGATCACATGACAAAGTCTCTAAAAAAATAGTGTAGTTTTTCCAAGAGTTAACATTATGTGGTCAGACATGCTTCAGCGCAGGGTCTGGTGGGGAGCTGTGATCCCCCCTGCAGGGTGGACAAGGCCAGGAGGTATGTGAATAGGGAGGTGGCCAAATTCCTTGGGACCATAGGAAGGACAGTAATTTCACATCCTGGCATAGTATATGGGGCAGCAGAGTTGTTTTGGGAAGATGGGGTTCACCTGTCCGTCTTAGGTGCCATCATTTTTTTAACTGATATAAAAGATGGCATTAGAAGATGTCTGGGAATCCGACTGGGTGTGGGGAGGAGGCAGCCAAGCTAATTGCTAGCGCCTCCTTGTGGCGGATGTCCAGTGCAGGTACTCCATAGGGAAGGTATACAGTGATCAGATAAATGTCTTGGAAAAGGACTTAAAAAGAAGTGTTCGTTAAAGGAGCGAATGGGGGGCGGTTGGGGACTTCTATGATTGGTACGGCAGGGAGCCAGCCCCCCATTCTTATAGCCCACCTTAACCCTCCTACGAGGCGGGGGTGGAAGGTAAGGTCCCGGCAACAGATTTACTGAAAGGACCGGGAGGCAAAAAAAGGGGAAGCTGGTGGCAGCCCCTCTCCCCAGTTATGGAAAAAGAGGGGGAACTGGTAAAAGCCCCCCAGGTAACTATGGAATAAACATGGGGGTTACCTGCACTGTACACTTATCTGCTGGGTAGTCCCAGACATCTAATAATAAAGTTGTGGCCTGATTAAACCCATGTCAGATGTCTCCTATCCTTCTTTCGGCATAACCAGACAATGAACCCAACTATAGGAGCCCTACACAAACATGTTTCCTTGTGCAACAAACATGGGATTACAACCTTTTGGCTCGATTTAACATTGATCTGAACAGGATTTTTGCCTTAATAAAGAGTGAAGAATCATACATTTTTACCATGGCACTTAATGTCATTTCACAAATCACATGTCAAAGTCTCTAAAAACATAGTGTAGTTTTTCACTACAGGCTGAGCTCTTCACCCTATGATATATTAGGTCTCCATTGAACTGTGCGCTAGGGTTGTGTCCAAACTAGCATTTTCTTAACATGTCCCAACATTGCACTACCTCAAGTATAAATCTGCTGTTGGTAGCAAATGTGGTACTAGAGTAGACTAACTGTTAGCATGTTAACCATCTATAGATTGCACCCCAGTTAAAATATGGGTGCTGTTGACCCACCTGTGTATACTAGTGCTCTTACCCTGCTGAAACTGAACAATGATGGAAATTTTTACAAAGATGCTAGTGTGTACAAAGGCTACCTAAGTTATTTTCACACCTATTTTCCTTTAATAGCGGTCTTATTCACCAACAGCTCATTTATAATGTGGCATATGTGGTTGAAAAATATTTCTAAGAATTCATTAGTGGTACATATTAAGTAACAATTCTTTACTAAAATAAATGACTCCCTTGATAGCTTATTTTTCAGAGGTAAAGCCAAGGCAGTTAATATTCTAACAAAATAATTCACTCTTCAGTAAGGACTAGTACCAAGGATTTTTTTTTCTGTAATAAGTAATGGTATCTAGTAGATTTTTATTGTAAAAAGGAAAACAAGATATTCTTCACTTTTCAAATGGCCCATAAGACAGCCTTGCAGGAAAATGAACATTTACAAGATATTAATTTCTTTTTTGTCTCACTAATCAGACTTCAAAACACACCTCAATATGTTTGTAGCCATAGTGCTACATAGATTTTTTTCTTGATTCAACTCAGACTCTTAACATTCATTTAATCACAGTATTTTGATATATAATATTTGAATTGCTGTGTTAAATATACTTCAAGACATGCAAAAAATATCTTATAATTTGTGGGTGTGACATCACCGGGCTCTTGTAGTTTATCAGAACAATGTGACACTCATAAATTATGAGAATCTGCAATATAGAGTGAGGAGCTGACTATGTTAGACTCTTCTGTTGCTTCTGCTTGGCTGTTGATACTACTAAGACACCCTCCAGTCATAAGAAAAGAGTGAATGAAAAATAAATTGTGATCTATATCTGGATCTATAAAACCCCAATCTTGTGGTGCATTACATCATTTATTTCTATGACATCAATATAATATTAGTCCCAAATTTAGAGCTGTCTGTTATTTATTCTCTTTTTTTGTTCTTTTTTTTATAATTGCCTTATGATTATTAATTTTTTAATGTTATAAGTGAATTTATTGCATATTTTAAATGAAGCAAGACTAGCTCTGGTCTGATTCAGCCATAAATCAGGTGGGTTCTGCTACCTGCCCCAGATATAGCTCTTTTAGTTTTCCTCAATCTTTACCTTCAGCAGGTCCTGCTATTCTAATTCTGGAACTCTCTTAAGCAGAGCTTAATTGAGCTAAATTCGACAATGGTTTTATGACATGCAGAAGTGAGGACTAATATAAAACTATTCAAACACATTTTCACTAATGACTTGAACAAGAATTTGAACCTGGGTCTCAGGGTTAGAGTTTAGCAGTGGAAGAAAGGACAGATTCTTAGTACAAAAACAAAATGAAAATCAAAACACATACAAAACTACTTTAAGGGGACACGAACAGGTTAAAATCATTTGGAAATGTCTTTACTTTTGTTATTAGTAACATCTTAGATTGTTAAAGTAACATTAAAAAAATTATTTACATTTTACTTGTTATATTGTTTTCCTATACTTAGGGAAATGCAAAAAGTAAACAATGAAAGTAAATTTGCACTTTTTGCTTTTGTTTCTAGTCAATTTCACATTGAGGTACTCATTAACTGCCACAATTCTGCAATATTTGAATCACACAAGTTGTAGAGAAAAGTGTATTCATTTTACAAAAGATTGATGTGTCTATTAGGGTTTTTTTTGTAATTTCAGGGAATATTTCTATCATTAGATTTTGTAAAACCTAATTTTTATTGAAACTACAGCTGGGATTTACAAAAGAGCTATAGGGATTGAGGTGCTTAATTCCTGCTGAATTTCTAACTCCCTTTGAAAATCTCAGGCTACATTTCATGGAATCTCAGTTTACTTTTTCAATTGTGTGTTATTTTGTTTTATTATATCTAAGTTGAATAAAACAAAAGACTTTTGTTATCTTAAAAATAGTTTTAAAGCACATTAAAAATCTTATTTTCCTCCTTGAGATTTTGTCTTGGACTGTTTTCAAAATCTACTAATTATTATGACAATTTCTTGGTGCCTTAATGATTTGGTTTCTTTTTCTTCCACTTTTCAAGTGTACATTGACATTAAATAAGTTCAACCATGCTTGTCACTTATCAGGTTTTCCCAAGACCTCAGAGATTCAATAATTACTTAAACTAAGCAAAAGGCCAGCATAAGGGAATATAATTTTATGTTTTTCTCCATATTTTTCTTTCAGAAAATTTATTTCCCCCTATGCAAAAACGGCAATTAAAAATACTGACAGAAAGCAAATCTGTAGACAGCCTCTGTTTGGCCCTAATATTCATCTGCAATCGACAGTGATATCAAGAAGGTCAGGACTTCAAGATTGTTCCACACATCAAACAAAATCAGTTCAGAACAGTGATAGAATATCAGACCTAGGCAGCTACAAATCAAACAGTACAAACAATTTCTGCCTTATATCACTATCCAAAAGAAACAGACCTGTCAGTGCTCCAGCAGGTCAGCTAAGGTAATCAAAGCTGTTCTGTGTTGCTTTTAACTGTGACTGTTGATGCCGTTTCTCCTTTCAACAGAAATCATTATGATGATTCAATTGATTCTCCAAAACATACAAATAAAAGACATTGCTAATTTTATTCATTTTAAAGATTTATTGCATTCTTCAAGATTCATTTATTTCTAGTGTTGTGTGTGTGTGTGTGTGCACATGCACTTAAGACATTTATATATATACAGCATAAACTGCATCCATTAGCCCTCTGTGTATATTTTTATAATTTCACATAAAAACCAGTTTAATGATAAATTGTAGTAATACCTCACTAAGAGGCAGACTCTAAATTCCTTACTCACATGCGTTTGTAGTTTCTCACACAATAACTTCTTGACTTTAATGAGACTACTTGTGTTAAGACGTGCCCACCAGTATGAATAAGGGATTAAAAATCTTATAGAACAAAAAGTCCTTTAACTATTACTTTCATTACAGAGCAAGAAACTTGGAAATTGTCAAATACCTTTACTTTATGGTTATGTGCATAAAAGTACTTATTGTGTAAAGGTTCAATCCAGTGCCCTTTAAAATTGTTTGAAAGATTCTCATTTAGCGGAGTTGAATCAGATGCTTAGGCCTCAAACCTGCTCTTTATGTATTTCTTTATGGTTGGACCTCTGCACCTACACAGAGCTCAGTGCAGGATTGTAGCCTTAGATTACAAATGTTCTTGTTAAAACATGCAGCTTTCCTATAGTTATCCAATAGAAATTCTTTGTTTTCTAAGAAAAGTCTTACAGTACAATAGCACTATAGATTATTTTTTTGTGGAATTACCCTTTTAAAAATAGTATTGAGGGTATTTTTTCTTTATTGGATGTTAGTGCATTTCATTTTATTCTGCTAATGGCGCTGAATATATTTTGCATTCTGAAGATCAGAAATATTGACATAAGGCCCCATTCTACAGTTAGAATTGCTGTCAAAGTCTGTGGGAATTTTGCCTGAATGAAGGCTACAGCATTAGCTCTTAATTTTTCAACTAAGAGCAAATCATTAAATTATATTGAATTATAAAGAAAATGACTTATGCACTGAATACACTAATAAGAATATTGTTAATTTTTCTAATACCAATTTTATTATTTACAACATTTAGTCAAATGCTGATGGTACTGGAGACTCATTTTTAAAGATTGAGGAGATCTTTTTTCTTATAAAAACCATAATAAAAAGGGCTCTGAAGATGCTGTATAACAACTTCATACTTGAGTTATAATGGTGCTCTCTGAATGTGGTGTATTACAAATAAAATATGCTAAATATCAAAAATAAACTAAATATGTTCTAGAAGGATATCATTCTAAATCTATTTTATTTAAAGGAGTTCAATTTCCTTACATAGTGTATTTAAAAACTCAGGTATTCTGATTTAAATATCTATAATGTGAAGAGTCATCAAGGGTTTATATTAGAAATATTAATTTTACGTAATTGTATATAAAAAGACCTTAGAAATAGATGATTTCAACAAAATACAAATTAACTTTTTCTCTGATGAAGCTAAATTGGTTTTATTTGCAACAGATGTACACAGTTCTCTTCCTCAAGACTCCAGCTGGCCCAGAAAGAATCTGAAGTGCCCCAAGTTATTAAATGTCAGCCAAGGGTAATCAAAGTAACGGCTTACAAGAATGGCACAAGAAGTATCTTTGCTAAAATTGCTGTACCATCCATTAAACTGGTAAATACTAATACAAAGTTTTCTTACATGTATTAACTTTATTTATAGTTTGTACTTTATACCATCAGGTAAAGAAAGAAGTTGCCTTTTATTTTAAAATGAGCTAATATTAAAATTCTTCCTTTCCAGCATATGTATAATATACATATAAAATACACATAAAATTAGTGAATAATTAAAACATACTACAATATAAACACTGTTCAAGTAAATAGGAGCTACAGAGTGTAAAATGTTGAGTTCATTCATAACAAATTACAATACTGTGTGAGACTAAAAATAATAATAATTTTTGAAAATTCTTTGTAATGTTACGTTATCCACTGTGTTTTCATCATTCTGTTATCAGTTAACTGCCAGCAAAGATTACAAAAAACCTAAGTGCAGTTACTGTGGTTGGTAAGTCACTTAAGTATGGATTTCTAATTTTTAGTCCCGATTCTTTCACTAAATGTTGGTCATCTTGTGAATATATTTTTCTGTCGTAATCAATATTCCTTACCTCTTGCCTTCATTTAGCTGCTGGAGGAGTGCACTGAAAAACTGAATCTGAACATGGCTGCACGACGAGTGTTCTTGGCAGACGGCACAGAAGCACTAGAACCTAAAGACATACCCCATGATGCCGACATTTATATTTCAATTGGAGAGCCCTTTTTAGATCCATTCAAAAAAATTAAAGGTAAAAAAACAAATAGTATATGGCTTCAGGGGTGCAATTAAAAATGATTTTCATCCTCTCTTTTTGCATGGTTTAACAAAACTAATGTTTACTCATTTAGAGCTCAGTAAGAGGATAATGTGCTTAATGAAAGAAAAATCTACTGACAGCCATGTTTATTGCCCTTCATTAGCATTGGTGCTTAATTTAATATAGATCTGAATAGACATTAGGGAGCCTGCAGGAGGTTAAATGGTGAAAATATAATAAATTAAATCAGAGATTATTGAATTTACTCTTTAGTTTCAGTGACACCTAACAGACACAATTCATTAGGCTTATTACACTAGGAAGAAAATAGTTCAGCATTTCAGATTGCATTTATTAATTTAATCATTTGACCTTTATGAAAAATCATTAAAATAATTATTGGGATGTTTATACAACAAGGTGGAATATTTACACTCACATGTACATATCATTCAGATGTGAATGTTTTATTATTTTAAAATTTTTCATTACAAACATTAAAGCTTCCCCACTATATTTCATCCCTTTTTCAGTACAATCATCAAATGATATTTGTACACACACACACACACACACACACACACACAGTGGTGTTTCTGACTCATTGACTTTTGAAATTTGGATGTAAATATTATTTTCGTTCATATTTTAAGATGATGGAGTACATTCTGGGATTTGTACAATTAATTTTGATGAAGTTTTACAGAATTAACTTAAATAGTGTTCTGTATCAAAGTCACAATACTCCTACTAAATACCTTTTATTAAATCATCGAAACAGCTGGCAGTTATGATAAGCTACAATGTTAGTTAGAATAAAAATTAGCTAGCTGAATTATTACAAAAAGCCAGATGACTAACTGGGAAATTTTATGTTTGTTAAGGATCAACCTGTGTTACCAGTGTACCATTCCAACAAGAGACAAAAATGAAATGCATTTTTTTTTATTATAAAAATACTTGTGGTGCCTAAAAGTAAAATGCAGTGCATTTAACAATGATCTTGGGATAAATAAATAAATTTTATAAAAGCATTTAAATAATGTGCATGTTTTACATTTCTTTGCTCTAATGAGCATTTTTAGCCTTTTCTTATGTAGTTATAATTATGTTTTCTTTCTCTCTTTTTTAAAGCACCAATGGTTTATTTTCCCCAGTAATTTTAAAATTACTTTTGTTACCTTGAAAGAACAGTTTCTAGCACAAATATATTTACTGCTAAGTGAAAAATCTCAGGACAACAGTAGCTTGTAATTTTTACAGAAAGTTGTTGCTTTAGTATAATATTAGTTTCACCCAGAAGTGGTAATTCTCTTATATAAATAGATACTACAGTGATGAGTATTATAGAAATGTCAATGAATACATAAAAATATTGACCAGTAGTTGCCCATATGACTTAAGTTCTATAAATATGCCTTTTATTTTTATTTTCATGGAGCTATTCATGAGTGATTAAAGTATTTACATTTTAGTCCACCAACTGAGCCATATCATATAAATACATTCACATCTTGCTTCCATAAAAACTTCACAGATTATATTTATGATAAGATATGCCTATCTGCTATATCATCAATTATGCACATGATAGGGTGTTACAGATAATATGAAAATCTCCCTGAATATAATTACGATCCATTGACTACCATTTATTTAATTAACAGTCTATGCATACAATAAGAGAGAGACCAATCTGTATTTTTTCTATTACTTGTGTTGCATAGTCACACCAATACACTTTAAGATTTAATAAGAAGGGTTTTACTGTTTCATTAGACAATAATGTTAAATAAATACTATTTTGTCTCATATCATAGGAGATACTGAAATGAAGCTAATATTATTGTAATATTTTTATACAGCCATTGCTATAGTTCGTTATAAAATCTTCAGGGCATTGGTACTTTTATTATAGTTTTCCATTCACATGATTTGTTGTTAAGAGTGGTTTTTCAAATTCATTAAGCAATTCTCTCTCTCTCTCTCTCTCTCAAGCCAAATTCAAAACAAAAACTTCTATGCTTTGTCTGCATATCTTTGGCAGTGTTTCACTGTGACATGCACTGCTGTTCTTTTAGCACCAAAATGTTGGCACACATTACTGAAAATTTCACACCATCCCTTGCTGGATCAGCAAGCTTAACCTACCAAAATCTGGTGTTGTGCAATGGTTTTTGACTGATAATCAATCTTTTTACTGCTCGACAGTTGTTGCTGGGACACAGACTAGAGCAGGTGGCAGATGTGCCTTGTCTTTTGAGAAAAGAAAGAGTAGGTGAGCTTGGGCACAGAGTAACATATTGTGTGTCCATTAAAAGGGCTGCACTAGGGTAAGTATAACAGGAAAAAGTCACCAATATAAATAGAAACTCCACCAATAGCATCAAATAAGCCTTTTTACAGTCTGCCTTACAAGTTTAATAATATTGCCAAACTAAAATAAATAATTCAAAAGCATTCCCTATACTGGGTCACCAGAATTCAGGTTAAAATTTGCCTTTTAAAATTTTATATATTCCATAGTCATCTTTGTTTATGGTTTTGTTATATATGTAGAATGTATGTCAAAAGTATCTTTTAAAAAAATAGCTACAGTATGTGGGAGGAAATTAATATGTTCTGTAGGGTGCTCTTCCCCTAGCCGCCAGAAGCTTGACAAAAAGTACCATCTAAAAGGTCAAAAAAAAATTGGCTTGACTGCATAATTTTGTTTATCACAAGACTTGAGTTGCTAACACATAGATAACAAGAACATACATGAGTAGTAAATTCTTTCTGCACAGGAATAGAAGCCCAATGATGTATTCTTAGGCCCTGATCCTGAAAATATTTATACTTTTGAGCAATCTTATTGTAAGCAATGAAACTACTTACATATGTAAAGTTACTTATACACGTAAGTGCTTGCAGCATTGATGCCTTCATTTGAAATCTGTATTTCAAATACTGGGTCAAGCATAAGCTCTGGCATAACTTTAAGTGGTACATCTTAGCTATCACTGTGATTCATACAGTATAAATTACCTATATAGAATAGAACTCCCACTGACATCTGTGCATTTGGGCCTGTTCATATCAGCCTTGAATTTTGTCCACTATTTCTTTGGATTTGCTCAGCCTTTCAACTTCCTGGGGAATAATACTTAAATTGATTATAAGGGTAAGTGAATAAAGATTCAGATATATGTTTACTTGCACAATAAATTTTAGACCCTCGGCTAAAAATGAAGAATAAAAAAAATTGCTATATTTTATTTTTATTTAATATTTATGTTAAAGGCTCCAGTCAGTATTGAGGCCCCATTTTTAAAGGTGTTTAACAAATACGAAGGTAGACACCATCTCTTCCTCTCAGTCATACGAAGACAGCTTTGGGACTTGGGACTATTCACAGGGTATAAAGTTAGGCATAAGCATAAGTCTTTCCAGGATGAGGGCTTAAGATTTAATGCTCTGTAACATGTTGTTCTCTTGTTGTAATTTACATATACTGAAAAGTACTGACCTTATTTAATTAGGAGTTTAACTAGAATTCTAAAGCAGATGTGTAACTGAGCACCTATCTGCCCAGGGCCGGCTCCAGGCACCAGCTGAGCAAGCTTGTGCTTGCGGTGGGAGATTGTTGGAGGCGGCATTCTGCCCAATCCTAGGGCGGCACGGCCACTTTTTAAAAAAATATTTATTTATTTATTTATTTTGTTCTTGTTCCGCTCCGGCCGCGGCGGCGGCGCAGAGAACCAGAGCACCCTGCAGGGCAGTCCTCTTCCTTCCCTCCTCGCCGACCGGAGCGGAGCGGAGCCCTCGCGGCAGGCGGCAGGAGGTGGCGCAGCAGGAGGGGCCGCATGGCAGCGCCCCTGCGGTAGCCCTGTCCGCCCCTTCTCTCTCTCTCCTGCCCGTTCCCTCCCTCTCCCCCCGCCCCCAGCCGGTCCCCCTGTACCCGCGCTCCAGCTGCGCCGCTAGGTTTTTTCTTTTTTTTTTCTTTTTGCTTGGGGCAGCCAAAAAGTCTCTGCAAATGAATGACAGCTCCTTCCAGATGTCCACAATGTGCTGCTTTAGCTACTGCTTTCTTTAATTGACTCCAGATTCTTTCTATTGATTTAAATCAAGTGACTGTGATGCACAAGGCACAGTCACTTGATTATCTTTTCTTCAGAAAAGTTTGTGTATGTTTTGGTGTATATTATAGGTCATTGTAATATTGCAGAATATATTCTCTTCCAAGAGTCCTCTCCTATTCAATAATTTTTGTTGTTTGACTGTGTTGGCTATCTCCCTTGCTTGGGGCTCATAGTTACCCATGGTGGAGGTACAGGGATTTTATCTAGGTGATCAGTTTCAACCTTAGGGCAAGTCTACACTAGAAGTGCTACATAGGTGCGACGGGAGAGCTCTCTCCTGTTGGCATAATTAATCCACCTCTGCAAGGGGTGGAAGCTATGTCGGTGGGACAGCATCTCCTGCTGACATAGCACCAGCGTGGACACCTGTCAAGGCTGGATCCCCACTTTGAACTTTAGGGTACAAATGTAGGGGCCTGCATGAAAACTTCTAAGCT